TGAGAAAAAGGCAAAATAATCAAGTTTTTTGGATAATTTTTTAAAATTATATTTTAATTGCTCCGAGGGCATTCTAATTTTGGTAAAAAAACTTTAGAGTATAATAAAACAGCACATCAAATTTCATTAAAAGCGGTTCTATAGTTTTCGCAAAATAATTGAAAAGTTTTGAAAAAAAATGTCGAATTTTCAAATAATGCATTTAGATACTTGAAATCTTTTTCACATAGAAAAGACCTTTCAAATGGTTTTTGAATAACTGAAATCGGTTCATTAGGACGGCCACAATAAATTTTTAAAGATAACACCCTTTTTTTATTTTTGAACAATTAGATTACATTTATCGATTTGTAAATTAGTTTTTCAAAAATTATAATTTTAAAGCACTATTTTTTTTTAATTTTATCAGTATTTAACAAAAAAATTAATTTCCAAATAAAAATATATTTTTTAATTTGTTTAAACAAAAATTATTTAAATTTGTAATAATTATAACTAAATATATTCATATTCAGAGTGTCGAAATATATACGTAAACAAATTTTTTCATTGAAAAAATGCAGTAGCATAGGGTAAAATATACAGTATATTTAATACATAAATAATAAACTTTGTTTATAACAAAAATACGTGCAAATTAGATAGTTGGAATTCAGTCTCGGAGCGAAAGCCCCCTCCCCCACTTTTCATGTTTTGAGTCACTTTTCGCGTGTGCGAGCGACAGCTTTTCCGCTGTTTTATCTATGTTGCCGATAACTTATGATATGAAAATTTTTTCCAGCTTAGAACTCGGAAAAACGAAGCCACTGGATCAAAGATTATTGTTAAATTGTTTATAAGTTAATAAACTTTGACCGCTTATATCTCGAGAACCGATAACCGTAACTTTTTTTTTAAAGCAACGTCTTTCCAAGTACTTAAAAATTATTATTTTTGAAAAAACTAAATTGCAAAATGATAAAAATGTAATCTAATTGTTTAAAAACAAAAAAAAAAGTGTTAATTTTAAAAATCTACTGTTTCAAAAACTAAATGAAAAGTTGAGCGGTCTTTTCTACGTGAAAAATTGTTCAATTATCTAGATGCTTTATCTGAGGCTTTGCAACATTTTGAAAATTCGAAATTTTTTTTTTAATTCTTTCAAAAAATTATTTTGCGAAAACTATAGAACCGCTTTTAATGAAATTTGATGTGTTGTTTTATTATACTCTAAAGTTTTTTTACCAAAATTAGAATGCCCTCGGAGCAATTAAAATATTTTAAAAAAATATCCAAAAAACTTAATTATTTTGCCTTTTTTTCATCGATTATTGCTATTTTGCAACATCAGTAATAAATTTAAGCATTTTTAACATACAGTATACTGTGCAAAATACATTTTTTTCCACTTCAATAGTGTTTTTTTTTCAATATCACCTCAAACATGGCTGAAATGAAACAAAAACGAATTTCCAATATTTCGTTTTTTTTTTCAAATATTTTGAAAACTAATCATATTAGCCTTGATTTTTAAGAGGCATAATGTTGGTCCCCTGACTATGCAACTTTGCCTCCATTTAAGCTAGTTCGTATCTCTTACCGTTTCTAAGATCCCTGTAGTGAGAAGCGAATTTATAACAGCCTGTATTTTTATAGTTATAGTAAGTTACATTCTAAAATGCAGTAACGTAATAATAGGAGTTGCGGTAAAGTTAAATTTCCAATGGCAAACCGATATTTACAATAACTAAAACTACGGTATATCATCAGGAACAGTGTATAATGTTCATCTTGGTCTAATTCTGTTCACTTGGTTCTGTTGTTTGATATTTTTCTCTTATTTGTTCTTCCCTAGTTGTATTCCTACCACCATAACGTGAATTTGACAAAGTGTAGTGTCTTATTTCGTTTAGTACAGCCTTCTCCGTACGTTTCGACATTTTACATTTCGATGATTCCATCCAGCAAAGGAAAATTAATTTAATTTTTCTAAGGGCATCTCTGGCAGTGGCATCACCGTAATCGAACACGTTGACGCAATTAAGACCACTTAAAATGTATATTTAAATGCTATTTTAACGTCGCGTCGTGTTCATCTTAGCAAGAAATTACTTTTTTAACGGATACAGACACTTCATGTTGCATAAACTCAACTGCGGAAATGTCAAATAGGGCACTTTTATAAATACAAATCGGTCACTTTGTATTAGTATCTGGTTGGTTTATGCAACATGTGACGACAATTATTCCTTGAAAATATACTTTACTTACTTACACACGAGTGTATTTTTCTACTATCAACGTCGTGTAGTTGAAACATTTTAAAGGGATGATAAGGGGTGATGCACTATTAAAATGTGACAGAATGTTTTAACCCGTTTAAAACTTTTCTCATTCTTGTTAGTCTTCAAAAAACTTTGTCGTTTTACTCGTTTTCAACAAAAACACTAAAACTAATACGTACTCTAGCTGTGTTATTTAAAATCATCGAAAATTCAAACGTTGACTATGAATTTAAACGTACAACTTGACGATCAGGAAAAAAGTTGGAATAAGAATAATTTAATAGAAAAACAAACAACTTAAACAACAGAAATAACACAATTTCCACTGGTAAGTTATAGAAATGATTCAAAATGAACACCGTTTTCTCTCAGGCATAAATTGAAGTCTACTGTATCCAATAACTGCTGATTGTTTCTAATGAATGTGCATTTATCCGCAATATAATTCCACAACTCGAGACTCAACTGGTGAGGAATACACAAATTCTTTTAACGTTCCCCAAATAAAGAAGTCACATATGTCGAGGTGACGGTCTGGTGATCGTGGAGGCCAATTATTTCCTCCTCCAATCCATTTATGTGGATACTAGTGGTTAAAAAAACCTCTAACAATATTACCAACATGAGGAGGTGGTCCATCGTGCATAAACCAATGTCCCAGTCTGAGTTGTAGTGGCACCTCGTCAAGTAGATCCGGGAGAGTGTTTTGGAGAAACTCTAAATAAGTTTCGCCATTTAGTCGATTCGGTAAAATAACTGGACCAATTAAATACCGATCAATAACACCGATCCAAGCATTTATTTTAAAATGAGGGTTTAGCTCGGAATACTCATGATAGTTATGTAAATTTGTGATACCTCTGCGGGTGAAACAAGCTTCATCAGTAAAGAGAATTTTCTTTTGAAAATTAGCCTTGTTGTAAAATAAACTGACAGAAAAAATCTTCTCCGATATTTCTCAACACTTCTTCTATAGTTTCCTTCACAGAAACCTAACACTAATAGCATGTCGACTTGTTCGCTAAATGAAAACTTCCCGGACATTTTCAAAACACTCAGCAAACAATTACTAAAATTAAATAACTTTTTTCCTGATAGTAGTTGACGTTTAAATTCATAGCCAACTTGAATTTTGTATGATATTAAAGAACAGCTACAATATGTACATAATATGTATATAATATTAAATACGAATATACAATATGTATATAATATTTTAATATTAATTGTATGTATTTAGAGAAGCGTTATTTAGAGACAGATTGATAAATTTTTCAGTTTTTCTGCCTCGTCCACCATATCTGCCACGAAACAAAATAAGTCCATGCACAATACAGGCTGTCGATCTCCTCGAGTCCAACTAACATCAAATACTTTACTACAACTACTTTTTTTGTATGTACCTAGTATTAGTTTCAACATCTGTTAACATTTATTTTAACTGGTATTCATCCCATTCAAAACGGATGAGCTTCATTAATTAAATACGCTATGCTCATTCGATAGTAATTCTTCTCGAGACTCAGTTTTAAATATTTCTTTTCCTTTCTTTTCAAATGATCTAGATCGTTCATTTATAATTTCTACGGAGAAAATATTTGCTGCTGTTTTGATCATATTATCTTGCCATGACTTTGTTCGCCTTCTGCGTGTCTTCTTAGTGTTCGAGTTCAAATATCCTCGTGCTCATCCTTTTTCCACATCTCTTCCCACGACAAAACCATCTTAATTTCCCTCGCCGAAAGATGTTCCCTGTAGCTTTTACGGTTCATACTTTGTCTCAAAGTATTACCTATTACCTGGTTCATTATAATCCGAACGATCCATATGTTTTTGTGATTTTCTGTTCCAATGCTTTAGTCAAAGGAAAATTAATTTACTTTCGCCGCTAGCGTTTCTGAATGTGACACAACAATTCGATTTTTGACGTAGTTACAGGTTACAACCACTTGGAATATGCAGAATATTATTTTAACCTCATATTCCCCTTTGAAATTAATTAATTGTGGAAACATTTCTCTATTACAAAAGAACACACTCAAATGCGCCTTGCGGAAATATTTAATAACGTATTTTGGTAACATAAACTAGTATTTGGTATCGATTCACATTATCCACATCCACTGTGCAAGTTGCTTATACACAATCACTTTTCTCCTTACAATGTTTGCTTTCGAAGATAACCCATAGATTTTGAGATTAAGCTGCTGCTATCACTTCATACTAATTAAAGGAAACACTTCTCTACGATATCATGGTTTTTAGGATTGTATGTGTGATGGTCATCATGAGTTACAAACATACATGCACATCTTTGGCCTTAGCTGGGAATCTTTGACCTGCCTTTGTCGATCTCGGGCTCTGTGTCGACGAGCCCTAGAGAACACCTAGGCTAGTCCTTATGTTCATTTTGGGTCTTGCTAATTCTAAGACTGCTACGGATAGAACAGTTCTGCAATGGTTTGTGTAACTGGACGCATCTAACGTTTAGTCGGTTTTAACTGTCGGCATCTTCAGTGGCGTAACTCTGAAAAAGTTTTTTTAGATAGGACCATACTTCTTTGATGGTTCTTTAACTGGTGAACGGTATAACAATCGTTTGAGCGATTTGGAAGAATTAACAATTAATTCACGTTACCTCATTCATGTTACTGTTACACATTTGTTTTCAAATTATATAATGTTTACATATATACTTTGTAACAGTATGCGTTACGCATATGACGTATTCAAAACATGCAGAGCTTGTATTACTTACACAAATGTAACGTGTCTGTCTGTCTAATATATGATGAACTATGTATTGTTTCAGACTTGTATTGCCAGTTCCTATGTACCACAACGACTACAACATTTGGTCAGTTTTAAAAAATTGTATAGGCAAAGAATTAAGTAAAATAACCATGCCCGTTGTATTTAATGAACCATTGAGCTTCCTTCAACGTATCGCTGAATATATGGAATACTCTTACTTGTTGAGAGTGGCTGCCGAACAGGAAGATCAATTCACCAGGATGCAATATGTTACTGGTAAAGATTTTTTATTCGTATTCGTTTTCATGTAGTGCTATTTTACACTAAAAAATGAAGGTTGAAAAAGAGAAGTCGGAAAACCAACGTCGAAGTTTGAAATATACTAGGCTAGACAGAAATTAAGGGATATTAAAAAATCCCAAAATTTTGGGTGATTTTCAAAGAGCTGTAACTTGGAAGGAAATGGTCGTAGAGAGAATAAAAAAAAGGAAATTGAAGCGTCAAGCGTCTAATTTTCTGATCTGCAGTTTAAAATTTTGTAGCACCAGCAGTTTTTGAGTAATCGTAAGAAAATCAACCGAAAAAAAAATTGTAAATTTTTGCTTTTTAAATTTGTCGTTTTTGCTGAAAAACAATGTAATAAGCAATTTTTCACTTTTTATTAATTTTATTGTATTATTATTAAGTATAATTGATTGCTAGTCAAAAATGAGCCCATAGGCCTTTTTAAAAAAGCAAAAATTTACTAATTTTTTTTCCGTTGATTATTTTCTTGTGATTAGGTACTGAAAAACTGCTGAAGCTAAGAAATTTTAAACTGCAGATCTGAAAACCAGACACTTGAAGCTTCAATTTCCTTTGAACATCACCCAAAATTTTGGGATTTGTTTAATATCCCTTAATTTCTGTGACTAGTGTATATGCGTATAAATTCGATCAGCTTTAAATAGAAAAGTAATAGATTTCCGACTAAAACAAAATTGTATTATTATTTACTGTACAGTGTGTACTATTCATCAGGAACCGACGGGTAGTAATCGATATAGGAAGAACCATATGTAAGAAAAAAAAATTTGCGGGACTTTTTCTTTCTTCTACTACTTGTGGTTAGGTTCTTTTCAAGTCCCGTACTACCGCTGCCTTATCAGGCGTCCCATTATTCAAACCTATTTAGCAAGTAGCTTTGTTCTTTTAACAAAGTCCAAAAGTTTACTTGCCGACACTTTTCTCAATTTCTTTTTCTCGGGATCGTCATTCTACTACGTTCAAATCCTGGACTCTCACTCAGGGAAGCCACATCCTCATCAGCGACAGTGTCCCGTTATAAGTCTCGTCACTTTCTTGAGTCGAATTTTATTCAAGCTCAGCAACCAATGAAGTCTCCTTTTCGTCAATGATCTTGTGTCCTGGTACCCAACACTATATCTAACTATGTTAGTGGTAGCCAGTTCAATCAGTATTTGTGAATATTCCCACACATGTTTTGAACTTCCCTTGTGTGTGTCTAAAACCTTAATTGCTACTTGTATCCGTCCCTCTGGCCATTTTGGAGCCATCTGTAAACCATACCAGACTCCACCTTTCCATGATATCAAACATTTCCTCCCATTTGCTCTGGAAGTGAAAGCTTGGAACCCGCTTGGTGGTCTGTTGTGTTTTTTGCCAACACACCACAGGACCAAAAAATATGTATTTTAAGTCTAACTATAGAGGCATACATCCTTCCAGTCCCCAGACTCTGCTGATGAGGCGACGACATATGTACAATGTCTGCTTCGCCTTACTTACCACTTTGTCCAATTCCAGGTAAGCTTGTCAACCATCCTAGATATTTAACCTCCCTGGAAAGCTGAACACACTTCTCCCCTAATACTGGTTCAGAGAGCCCAGTCAAATTTCTTCTCTTGGTGAAGGGTACTACGACCCTCACACCAATCATTTCACAATCTCTGAGACGACTATAAGAACGATTAATTGTTAAGTTTTACTCATAGCCTTCTGTGCTTGCGGGACTAGATTTGGATGTAAAAGCAATGAGTGGAATTTGAAAAGCAATAATGGATTTTATTTAAAATAATAGAGCGTTGATCATTGACATCAGTAACTAAATTTTGATTTATTACACACCTTTCCTAAGGCCTTTTCATATATCGATCGCGTCGGTTCCCAGTGGAACACACTGTACATCATACCACTTATATCGACTAGGTTTCGCTGTAAGTGCCCTTGCCTCGAACTGGGAACGTCTGGGTAAGCCCTTCAATCCCCTTCTTGGAGAGACCTATGAGCTAGAGCGAGAGGATTTCAGAATCATCTGTGAGCAAGTCAGCCATCATCCTCCTGTGTCAGCTTTCCACGCGGAGAGTAAAGACTGGGTTTTCCACGGATCTATTCATCCGAAATTGAAATTTTGGGGGAAAAGCGTGGAAATCCAACCTAAAGGAACAGTTACTGTGGAGTTTCCAAGGTATATCCGGTAATCCTTTTTTTTTAATAAAGAATCTATTACCAATTCTTGTAGACTTAAAGAAGCGTACACTTGGAGTAACGTCCAGTGCTGTGTGCATAACATAATTGTGGGGAAACTGTGGATGGAACAAGTTGGAAACATGGAGATCGTTAGTTATGCTACAGGGCACAGAGCTAATTTGACGTTTAAATCGGCTGGAGGGAACAGTAAGGATCTGCACAGAGTAGAGGGTTTTATTTCTGATAAATCGTAAGTAAACTAGTTTCTAAATTATGTTAACATAACTTAGTTTGCGGTATAATTCAGTCTTTGTATGGAATGTCCCAATGTTCCGTATATATAGAATAGAAAGTTGTTTCGTTAGTCAAGTTGCAAAAATGTTCCTCTCCGAAAATAATTAACGAAAGTGGAGCAGCACACGGAAGCCATGTTGTGACGTCATACCACTCGTTAACGAAATCAAAACCCAATAATTTTAATAAATCTTAATAAAACCTTAACCCATAAACCCAAAATTAATAAATACATATTCCATAAACCCATAAACCTTTAATCCATGAAAAAAAACCCATTAACTCTTACTCTTTAACCTATAAACTATAAACCCATAAACACATACTCCATAAATTCATAGACCTTTAACCCATTACCCTAAATAAATCTTTGTCTAATATGTTCATAACCCATTAAGGATCGCCCCATACATCATTCCTTTTAATTTTAAACTCATAAATCCTAAACCTACAGCATATTTCCATCAACTCAAAACTCATCAGTCCAAATCTCATAAATTCATAAATCATGAACCCTTACACCAAATCTATAGAGTCGTAAATCGATAGACACTAAAGACACGAGCTCTAAATCTGTATACCCATTACACATTTTTTTATATTAAATCAGTTATACTTTGCCAGTTTAAAAAAAAACAATTAATATAAAAAACATGGGTTTAGGGGTTAATGGATTTTTATTTTATGGGTTAAGGACATATGGTCAACGATTTAGGGTGCATAGTCTATGGATTTATGGATTTAGGGTTTATACATTATAGTTGCAAAAATGTTATTTTCAACAATTCGTCTCCGAAAATAATTAACGAAAGTGGAGCAGCACATCGAAGCCGTGTTGTGACGTCATACCACTTGTTAACGAAATCAAAACCCAATAATTTTAATAAATTTTAATAAAACTTTAACCCATATATCAATAAACACATATTCCATAAACGCATAGACCTTTCCTCCATGAACTCTAAATCTCTGCAAGTATGTCCTTAACCCAGAGAACAAAAACTCATTAATTCTTACTGCTTAACCTATAAACTATAAACCCATAAACACATACTCCATAAATTCATAGATATTTAACTCATAACCCTACATAAATCTTTGCCTAATACTTCTTCACCCATTAACTCTCGCCCCATACATCATTCCCATTAATCTTAAACCCATAAATCCTAAACCCACAACTCAAAACTCATAAATCCATAAATCATGAACCCATACATCAAATCTATAGACACTAAAGACACGAGCTCTAAATCTGTATACCCATTACACAAATTTCTTTTATATTGAATCAGTTATACTTTGCCAGTTTTAAAAAATGATTAATATAAAAAAAGTTGTTAATACTAAAACCATTTGTAAGGGGTGAGAGTTAATGGGTTTTTGTTTTATGACACATGGGCAAAGATTTAGGCTATATAGGTTATAAGTCTATGGGTTTATGGATTTAGGGTTTATGGCTATGGGTTCGTGGTTTATGGGTTGCCAGATTTAACGTTAATGGGTCCAAAATTAATATGCCAAAGTACAATGTTTAGTACATCCTAGTATTCTATGAGTAATTCCCCGTAGATCTTACAATCATCTTCTGAAATTTATACAGTCATTAGACTGCACTCACTAGACTGTGGCTTCCTCTTTGTCCTATGTAGACCTTTCCGCAATAGCAAGGAATACTGTACACACCTTCTTTACAGTACTGAATACTGTGTTGATATTCCTCTTCTTCAAGATTGATTTTTTTACTCCATACCGATTCAAAACTGATTATTCTGAGGGAGGTCCAACTTTTACGGAAAAACATTTGACTGTTTTATAAGAAATACAACCCAGAGCAAGTTTGACTTTATCGTTCGGTTACAGTTACTTTCTAAATATTATTTATCTTTACGTGATTTTCATTGGAAAAGTTTGAAGGTACATACAATTAATAATTGCCTGATTAATGGATAGAGTATGAGGGTTCAACCGAAACACACTGAAAGTTTTGTTTGATAGTGCGTTATACAATTAAGTCGATGAGGTACATGAGTAGAATCTCGAGAGCAGCGGTTTTTCTCTGCAATTTCAGGACTCGAAGATTATTGGCGTTCTCCTATCAAGCTACCTCAATATCCGGTTCGCTACATAGAGTAACCAATAATCTATTAAGCACTTAAATTATTCCAGAGGTAGTTTGACTATCTTTCGAGTGTTCTCAATATATTAAGCTGGCTTTAGGCTCAACTGCAACATACTCGAGTTGATAATCTCTAATAGTGCCGTAATTGCCAATTATTGGCACTGTTAATACTTTTCTACCTTACACCAACATACAAGGTGTTTCAGTTAATACTTCCCATCTGTAAAATATCTGAATTAAAAAAAAAACAAGAAAACCCGAAACACGTCGATTTTATCGATATCTGACGACATTCTTAAAAGTTATTTTAATTTTATCTAAAATAAATTAGAGAAAATGTTCAAACTGTCTTGCTTGCATGTTAATACAGGCTTTATATCTTCTTAAAAATGAGTTACATGCTCTCCTAAATATCCAAGAATGTAGAACTTGCAAGTTCTCAGCTGATTCTGTATACACCAAAACAAAGTCCGCCCCTGAATTAACTCAAATGATAAACATTTCTACCAAATTGTTTTTAAAATGTTGTACTTGCTCTTTTTTAAACACCCTCATATTGTGTTTACTCTCATTCTTTTCATTTATCTTATTTATATTTATGGCTATATTTTATGGCTAATAACGAAATAAAACGGCTTTCAGGAAGCGCAAGTTGTACTTCGTTTACGGGAAATGGACAGACTTTTTGAGGTGCACAGACTACCGCCATTATGAAGACTATGTAAAGGAGAACCCGACGAAATTCTGCTCTGGCAACTCGAAGAGTAAAAGTCCAAACGATTCTCCTTCCCACACATCTAGGAAGGTTCTTCAGAAATTAAACAGCCTCAAAGTTAGTTCCTTCAAGAATTCCACACAGGAAGTAAGTGGAAGGTGTCAGAATACGTGGTGATTTATTTGAACGTGGCAAAAATAAAAAACAGATGAATGTCCTCGTGCAAAAATGTTCATAACAGTAAAAAGAAATACAGGGTATGGTGAGTATAATCTATAAAAATTAAACTACATAAAAGCCTTATACGAAAAAGTTCTATTTTTACGTTTTTTTCGTAAATTAAAGTTCAATTATGGATCAAAATATTTTCTCTGGAACGGTCCTGTCCATGTCCTGTTCAAGTATACGGTTTCGCAATTCTTCCATCCTAGCAATTGGAGTATTGTAAACAAGTGACTTCAAGTGACTCCAAAGTCCATTGGAGTTAGATCGGGTGACCGAGGTGGCCACGGCACAGGCCCAAAGCGTCCAATCCATAGCTGAGGAAACATTTCATTCAAAAGTTTTGTTACTTCTCGTGTACTGTGTGGGGGAGCCCCATCTTGAATATAAAACATGCGTGCTCGAACTTGTATTGCCACATCGTCCAATAATTCAGGCAACCGGTTCTCCAAAAAGTCAGTATATGTTTGTCCATTTAGTCGTCGTTCAAAGAAATAGGGACCCACAAGTACATCGCCTATTATGCCAGCCCAAACATTTACCGAGAACCGATGTTGAAAATGAGTTTCCCTAATCGCGTGAGGATTTTCATCGGCCCATATGTGCATATTATGGAAATTCACTTCATCATGGGTAAATGTCGACTCATCTGTTACACAAACATAAGCAGGAAAGTATACTTGATTGGCACATTGCCGTAAAAACCATCTGCAAAAACGCATTCGTTGATCACAATCCGGGGGTAAAATCTGTTGAACTGGTTGCAGATGATAGGGGTGCAACAGCTGGCGCCTTAAGATGCGATGTACGGTACGAGATGAGGTTCCTACTTGCTGTGCGAGTCGTCGAGTACTAATTGTGGGGTCTTCGTCAAGATTTTCCAACACTGCATCTTCAACATTAAGGTTCACTTGCTGACCACGTCCTTCTCCTCGAGGAATAACACTTCCCGTATCTCGCAGCCGCTGAACGCACTGTAGGATTGTATTTGCACATGGGGGGTGACGTTGTGGCCATCGTTCCCGGTACAACCTAGTCGCCGCGAGCGCATTTTCTCCGGCTGCACCATACACTAACACCATATCGACACGTTCGGAAATAGTAAATGCATTGTTTTCTCGGTTCATTGTAAAACTAGTTTGTGCACAAACTAAAAAATTAAGCAAAGTAAGAAATAAGAATCTCGTTTTTAATGTAATCGGCACGCTATTCTTATTTTTTACTTCTTTATAAAAATTACACTGTCACTATCGTGGAATTACAAAATAAAAACTTTTGTCTGGAATCTTTCACTTTTTAACACTGATGGGTCGATGGACGATGCTTAATATTTAATAATTAAGTGAATAATGAATTCAATACAAATACAAAATCAGTTGACTGCACAAATTTTTTGACAATGTAACCTAACCTTCTTTTAGTATTACTAGTATTAGATTATACCGACTTAAATTATAAGGTTGCATCTCGGGTCGCATAAAAACATTTCCAAGTTTTTAATAAATAACACAGGGTCGGCCTTAATTTTCGTTGAATAAATGAACTTTAATTTACAAAAAAAAACGCGAAGATAGAACTTTTTCGTATAAGACTTTTCTATTACAAATATTATCAGGAAGCTGTAGTTTAATTTTTATAGATTATACACACCACACCCTGTATAATAAAGTAAAAATACATATGTGAGAGACCCTTCTGAACGTGTCGCCTATGGATATCGTTTACTTAAAATTGTGTAAAAGTCTTCGGGTAGATTTGGCGCTTAGACCTGACGTCTTCCAGTGCCTGTACTTTCGATAACAGTTTCAAAAAATTATGCGATGTTGCCAGATTTATTAAAAATATTAAAACAAAATAAATGATTTACATTTCACAGGCGTAACATTGAGAATTAGGAACTCCATAAATTTTGCTAAGTTCAAATAAATCACCTCTTGTAGAATTCGGTAGTTAAATATCTGATTTCAGACCGCGGATGAATGTGGAACCGACTCCGCTGATAAGACTGTCCCAAAAAGTGATTCAACTTACTCAATCGACATTCCCAATTCCGCTACAATCTGGAAAGTCAATCCTAGACCACCACAGACTAGTGACGTAAGAACATTTCTTGCCTCAGCCCTGAATTCCTATAACATATTTTTTTTCAGTATTATCAGTTCACAGAATTTGCAATGTCCTTAAATGAACTAGAGCCTGGTATGAAGAAAACCATTTGCCCTACAGATTCCCGATTGAGACCAGACATAAGGAAGTTGGAACAAGGTGATATTGACGGCGCAGCCATAGAGAAGACCAGATTGGAAGAGAAGCAGCGGGATGCTAACAAACATCGTAAAAATAAAAAGACCGTAGAATGGATTCCTCGGTAAGGAGTAAGGCTTCTGTATTGCAACTTTTGCATCCCTCCAAAGTTTTTGAGTACCTACATTGTGGTACATTTGTTAACTTCTCCCAATGCAGCACACAGTAAACACTTACTTTTTTATACAATGGTGTAAATATAAAACAAAGAAAAGGCTCTCCAGCTGTTGTGTTTATAATTGCATTCAATTACATTCACATAAGCAACAAAAAATAAAAATTAAACCGTCTTTCTGTCATAGGTGGTTTTTTCAAGGCGTTAACCCTTACAACAAACAAGAAGATTGGCTGTACAACGGAAATTACTGGAGAAGACAATACTCAGACCCCGACATATTTTAAGCAGCACTTAACTGGGTATCCAACTGGATTTATGTAGTTTCGGGACAATCTAGCTTAGAATCCCTTGATGTAGTCTAGTTCGATGTCTGCGTAAGTGCCAAAACAGCACATGGTTCATAACTAGTAAAAGGTACTGCTTCGAAAAATGTTCAGTTGTTCCCACCGATCGTATTCCTTGTTTCTTTCTATTTGTGGTATTGAGGAAACTGGTCAATTTTAATATAAAAACTTTAGTAAAAATCGCAGTTGTAAAATATATAGATGAAATAAATAACAATACATCTACATTGTGATAAATATGTATAGAGATAAATCGAAAACTTAGTAAAAGTCTCAACTAGTCTATAAAAATGTAAGGCAATTGACTAGTCGTTAATAACATGTTCGTTGCGATGAATATTTAACGCTTTAAAATGTTCTGTCAGATTCGGTTGATATCTTTGTTTAGTTTAATTGCTTGTATTAGTAGGTTAAAAAAAAACATTGACTAGATGATGCAACATGATCCATGCCAAATCACTGAGGATGTGAAGGGATCATTTTTAATTTTCCTGATTTTTTGGTATTATTACCCGTTTAGAGTAGGTTTCATGAATTTTTTCAAATTTTTGTTTCAGTCCTCTAGAAGTTTGAATATTTTGGGTAAAATATATTCAAATATCTGTAACTTGGCAAAAAACTAGATATCAAAAACTTTCTTTCATTTTGTTTATATTGAGATGTAGTTTTATAAAAAAAATAATACATTTTTATTCTTTTATATTTTTTAAACCAAGGAAGTGTTTTTTGAAAAAGAGTGGCGCTTTTTTCTTTTCTTCGAAAAATTCTCAAATATGGCAATGTTCAAAACAAACTTTTATTAGTATTGAAAAAAGAATTGGAATTTTTAGTTAATAATAATAATAGTAGAATTTTTTTAATTCGGAAAAAAATAGAATAAAAAAAGATTTTACTCTGGAGCCAGTCTCATTTTGCATATTGAAAGACGCTCTTTTGAGAATTTTTCGAAGAAAAAAAACGCTACTGTTTTTAAACAAGCACATTTTTGGTTTAAAAATAAAAAAATCAAAAAACTAAAAATGGATTCTATATTTTTTTTATAAAACTACATCTCAAAACGAACAAAATGAAAAAAAGTTTATGATATCAAATTACAGTCATCTTAAGACTTTTTTAACTAAAATATTTAGGTGTTCATAACTTCTTGAGCGGTTGAAATAAAAATTTGAAAATATTCATTAAAGATAGTCTAAATAACAAAATATCTAATAATACCAAAAAATCAGGAAAATTAAAAATGTTCGGGTCACGACCTCCATGATTTGGCATGGGATGCTTCATAGATATTATTCAGAAACAGTTGAATATAGAGACTAGAGACTGATAGTCAGTTATTAATAATAGAATTAGAAGACGTGTAAAAATTTTCTGTTGTTATATTTTTAGTTATTTGCGATAGTTTATAGTAATGAAAACCAAAATCACTACTGTTACTGTTGGGCAAATTTTGACATATGTGGGAGGTTTCCCCCGTTTCCTCGAAAAGACATAATTCTTGCTGGGGGTTCGATTTTGGCGAAAAATTTGTCTTTATTGAACTTTAAGAACTACAGGCAATTTTTAATTTTTGTTAATTTTTATGTATAACTTTTTTTTGGAGATATTAGAGATTCTGAATTTTGTAGATAGGTTTTTGATTTGGTATTTATTGTAGAATGTAGTATTGTAGACGATATATTTTTTATTTTCAGTTTCCTGATTGCAATCATGTTGCAAATTTATCATTGTACATATTTTTTTCATTTTTAATTTTTTTGCATATGGTTTTCTTTTAAGAAATAGGTAGGAAAAGTTTGCACAACATGTATGTAGTTTTAATAAGCGAGAATATAATTAACTATAAATCCATTTTTATTTGGTCGATTCTAAAAAAAATTAAAGGCAATGTTACATAGATTCTAAAAAATGAAAAAATTTAGTAGGTAATCTATTTTTTAATTATATTATTTTGAATTATAACTGGAAAAAAAATTGTTATTAGTTAATTCGAAAAATTTAGATTAGTTAACTTGAAAAACAAAAGACGATCAAACCCGGCCGCGTCGTGGTCTAGGATGGTGTGGGTAAAGAGCGATAGTTCTGCTGGATACCGCCTCATCCGAAGTCATTTTTCCTGCCAATGATATTCACGCGCGCCAAGTTATACTCGTATACACGACACAAAATTTGTAGAAATTTTAATGGCATTTACAAAGTTATCAAAGAAATTTAAGATAATAGAAATTATTAATTAAAAAAATTTTTAATAATTTATTGACACAGGATTTTCAGTGATATTATTATTTTTTCTACAGTACGAATTTTAGTTGCTTTCACGAACTTTATCACCTGTTTTATTTTCAATATTTAATTCTAAAAGTGAGTAGCTCTGACCAATAACACATGCCTTGCAAAGTAACAAAGACACATTTTCAGTATTTAAAGACAAAACATGATACATTTTTATAGACCCATCAAGTTAACTTTAAGGATTATTATCTTTTGTCAAAAGTTATTAATTACGAAAAAATAATTTACTAGTCGTTAAAAATCACAACGAACATGGTAAGTACGAAGTTCAAAAAGTAAAGTATATTCTAAAAATTGTTTTCTCTGCTATTTGGCGCAGATCAAATTCTATGTGTTTACGAATTCTTCTATTTTTATTCTATACGGATGTCTTAAGAATTTATTTCTATTCGAGCTGGATATATATATGGCACTCATAATGTGTAATGATGTTTTTAGTTCTGGTAAATTATCTCTGACAACTAAATCGATAAACGTGTTTAAATGTTCATACTGGTGGGCTTAGATTTTAGATTTAAATACAAGGTGATTCAGAACTTATCCAAAAAAAATTTTGCGCGGTTCGAAAACTGTTGTAAACACTATCGCAACGACAATTGTAAAATCGGATTTCAGTATTCGGAGTCGCCGAGGCCACGTGGCTCTCCACGCGTATTGCGAATGACACAATTGTCCAGTTATATAATGATTGAAAGTGCTACAACTTCAATAATTTTTTTCTCGGAAACTATAAGAATTTTTAAAACATTTTTTACGATATTGACTCCATTTCTCATGCCGCATCTATTCCCAAATTTTTTTGGATAAGTTGTGAATCACCCTGTATATACTACAGCATACGTAAACCAGCAGTTTCAATCCTTTGATCTCATTCAATCGTTTTTGGTGACCTTGCGTTGATCAGGGCCGTAACAAGAACCTTTTACTATCACAAGAAAATAGATAAAACATATATTTTGCAATTTCTAAAATCGATGAATGCCACTGTCGCGGGTTTTATCCCCGTAGATCAGCTATATTCGTAGAGAGGAAATAGGCACTCTCTCTGCAAGTGTGGTAGGGTGGAAGAGCGTTGGCTTGGGTCAATCTGAGAGATTGATACGGGTCGGCGTTTGGCCACCCCCCTAATTAATGAGGTTTTCCAGGTTTTCCTCGTTCCTGCACTGAATGGTTGGTTAGGGCTTATCAACGCAAGTCGTTCCTGGGCGCACATGCGGCCTATTGAATAATAATATGCCGCCCCCTCTCCCGCACAAATCTTCGACTTTTGGGCTAATCGGCGATTGGAATGAGGGGTAGATATATTATTATTATTATTACGCGTTATATTATAAATTATAGAGTTTAGTTTCACTTACTGATGTGATACAGGGTGTAACTTTTAGTGGGGGTCATTTTATTTACAATTAGTAAAGTATCTGTTAAAATATTCTACTGGTTTACATGTGCTGTGTGTGTACCGACATATTAGCATTATTACTCATTTCTAAATCACTTGATACAGTTTTTTATCATCTTTGAATGTTGTCTTTTGTAGTAATATTCAGGGTGTGATTGTGCAGTGCGTTGACTATAATGCGGCATAGATTTAGTCTATTTCAAAATTATTTAAAAGAGAAACCTAAACAAAGCATTATTTATAGAAACATACCTAAATAAATTGCTTAAAGAAGATAAGAAACAAAATGTAATTTGCTGTACTTCTTCAATGTCCACCACAGTCTGCGAGTACATAATCCATGATCCCAGTTGTCTCATACAACCCGGTATCAGTCTTTATTTCTCGAGTAGCCGCAAAAAGTTTCCCACAAAGTTGTTTTTCCTGTTCTGTAGAACATATTAGCGAATAAAAGTCTAAAGGATTCATATCCGGTAACCGAGCTGGTGAACGATGTGGACACCTACAAAAATTTTATGTACTAGCAACTCATTGGACATATTGGTAGCTTGTTAAATATTCCATGTACTGGTTTGATTTGGAATTGTTTTCGTGCTTATATGTACTATCGCCAGCAATATTTTTATTTGCATGGGAATTTGTTGTTATAACATTCGTTCAAGGCATGCTTTAGATGAGCGCCATTCACACGATACGGCATTATAGACAACTTTTTTAATATTATACTGCAGCCACCCTGTATATTATATGTGTCGTTTGCCAAAGCTGCAATTTCTGTAGTAATTTAACTACCAGCAAATAGGATTACATAAAAAATTGAAAATAAAATACATAATGCAAATAATATCGCTTGACGAACCATAGAGGGTGTAAGAGCGATTTTGCGACAAACTTTCTGAATTGAATTTTCGTCATAACGAATGACAAAATTGGATTAGATTTGTAAGTGAACATTCTTTTGAATATCACATTTTTGGCAATTGAAACCTATCCTGATTCTAATGTTACAGAGTATTTCTCCTATGGGCTCATTCAGTAATGTTCCTAAAATATTTTAAACGGTCTAAGCCATTCACAGAGCATTTGTGACGTCACTCCACTCGACTGGCTCGATCCTACTGCTCGATGCGCTATTAGCTACTGCCACTTATTTGTGGTATAGTTCTTGTTAATTATTATTATATGCGAATGTTATACTTATTAAGCTAAACGATATGACACCAATCTTTTTCACTATTAAAATTTGTAGTGACATTTTTTTAAGAAGATTTCATAGTTTAAATTTGTT